TCGCAGAGCGTCTGACGTAGTTATCCTGGTCCTTTAGCCGGGCTGCCACGGCTGTGAGGACTGCCTCGGGGAGGCTTGATTGACGACCTAAGGCGTTGGCGGCAGCGTGTCTGACGTCGTCATCCTGGTCCTCTAGCCGGGCTGCCACGGCCGTGAGGACTGCCTCGGGGAGCCTTGATTGGCAACCTAAAGTGTAGGTGGCGGCGCATCTGACGTCGCGATCCTGATTCTCTAGCGAAGAGGCTAATAGTTTAATAATCCTAGACGGTAGACTTGGTCGTTCTGCTAGTGAGTTAAGAATTATAGTCTTATCACTATCAGAACAATCCTGTAAGGCATTAAGTAGAGCCTGCTCTGGAAATTCTGCTTCTCCTGCTAGATGCGCGCTCCGCCTGAAGTAGCATTCAAAAAGGAGCCACTGTGACAGTTTCTCCTCTAGACTTGCTCGCTGCGATATTTTTGTCGACACCTCGCTCAAGCAGTGCATAATTAGGCGTTGGTGTGTAGGACCTAGTAGGTCGCGTGGTTCCCTTTCGATCGTCTTGAAGAATTCCTCGGCTCGACCCTCGGCATCAAGCAAGCCGGAAACAAACCGCCAGAAAATATCGAAGCGTGCTGTATATTTATGCTTCTGGAGAAACCCGACAGCACTGTTTGTGCTCTCGCTCTTCGGATCCTTTTCTGCTTTCCACTGCCGTACCCAGTAGCGCGCCCCAAAGTATTCCTGATAAGTTAGATGTAGAAAGTGGCAGGTTTGGTTACGGAATTCTGTTGATGGGTCTGACGTCTGTAGAAAGGAGAGGCATGGTATAGTCTTATCGGCTAAGGCACTTCGTTGGTCAAATGCGTCGTCAATATAGTTTGTATCAAACTCGATTATATCGTCGCGCATTCCATTGAAGGCAAGACCCTCCAGGAATAAGATTTCGTCTTCGACAAAACTCTCAATTTTGAGTCGGCTAGTTGATTGGATCTGAGCTTTTGTCACTGGCTCCCCGCCGTGCTTTTTTTCAGTCGCAAAATATCCTTCTTCCATAATCTTTGCTCGATAGCTTGGTAGACGGCAGTTATGGTATCAAGTTTCGTCCCGTGATTAATACCTTCGTTCCAGGCAAAACAGAGTGCATCCAGCTGTATAGGGATGCGAACAAGATCTTGAACGAGCTGGTGTTGTTGGAGGAATGACTGGATTTCATCAATTTTCTGTGGATCTCTAACGGTTTTCCGAATATACTCGTTGACTTGATCTGCGTAGAATCCGATCGTTTCCAGCTCGAGATGCAGGTCATCTGGAGGCTTGCTGTATGGACGGGATGTAACGATGACATTAGGCTGTTTTAACAGATCCTCGAGAAAGCTTGACATATCGCATTCGCCGCTCAAGTCCTGGGATACCTCATCCAGGCCGTCGAGGAGAAAAAGAGTCCTACTGCTCTCCGCTAAGGCATCCGACAGTGCTTTGGCCAGATCTGTTCTGTCTTTTGGTCTGGAGAAATACTCATGATGGAAAAGAGCCTCGAAGTTATATCCTAAGGCTGGCCGTCCTTTGAGCTTCCGTAAAGGCACCCAGAGTATACGGTCGAATAAGTCATTCCATTGGCTCCATGTACCACGGGTAAACTCATAGATAATTTTCTTGCACAAGGTCGTCTTTCCCACCCCAGCACGTCCTCGTATTAAGATT